AGCACAACTGAGAGTTGTTTGTTGCCCATGTTTGCACAAAGGAGTTCAAAAGTTGGTTACGAAATTTAAGAAAAAGCCTATGCACAAATATATAGGAGGATAGTTTCTTTGACTTGTCAAAGTTGCTGCTACTGTTTGAATGATATTATGAGAATAAGTGAGCATTTTTTAATTAAAAAAGATAAAGAGCATTTTCTTTTGGTTTAGAACAGTTTTTTTCAATTTTGTGTGGTTGTTATAAATTAGTCTTTGATTCCCAGCTAATAATGTCTCCAAAGATCACTTAAGCATGATTAACTTAATACAGTATGTGTTTTTAGATTAATTTATCACACTTAACTATGATACATGCATATGATCTGAATGTAAACATCAATTATGAGTAAGTTTTTCTAAATGAACATAATTCTTTTTCGGATTGTAGAAAATATTTTTCACTTTGAACACCGTGGATTTGGGGCAACTTGTTCCTTTTTTCACGCCAAATTTAGCAACTTTAGTGAAAGAAACGGACAGTTCCAAAATAAATTGTAATATATTTTAAGTCAATGCACAAATCTTTCCATGGAAATGTTCAAATGAAAGCTACAACAAAGTGATACTTTCACTTTTTGATGAACATTGTTTAAGTGACCATATTTTCTTATGGCTGTTGATTAAAAGACTTGGACGTGAGCATTGGGCGCAAGCTGGACCAAACATAAAGTTTATGTTTTTGTTTTATTTTTATAGTAGAATAATCAGTTTTATTTTAAAAACTTGTGAATTTGATGTTCGACTTTGCCCCGGAGGTTGTCATTCCTTTTAGGATAATGCAGTAATTTTCTAATTGTTAAAATACTTTTTCTCCTTTGTTGGTAATCCACAATATAGAGTTTTGGCTTAGTCCTTTTATACATTTGTTTATATTTATTCTATTGTTGGTAATCCACAATATAGATGGGTTTTACCACAATAGAATAAATATAAATAAATATATAAAAGGACTAAGCCAAAACTTCTACCAAATATTACGAGGACAAAAAATGGGGATTTGCAGTCGTACCCTATATTTGTGCCACCTTTTAACCCGTACCCTATTTTTTAAAATTAATTATTTGGTAGCCATCTCACAAAAAATCCGTAATAATATGACAATTACACTCCTGGCAAAAGATATAAAACGATCTCCTCCTTTCCTCTCAGCAACTTTATAAAAAAAATCAGAAACTTGTCTAGATTCATCTTCAGAATCACACTTGCATGAAGTTGTTTCACCTTGAAGCTAAAACTTCATGCTAGTGCGTGCTGAAGTTATTTATCCTGCAGTCTACATTTTGTCATAAATTTTATCCGAAACTTCAGTCTAAACATGCTGAAGTTATTTAGTTCATTTGTTAAAACTTCGGACTAAACATGTTGAAGTTATTTAGTTCATTTGCTTAAACTTCAGACTAAACATGCTTAAGTTATTTAGTTCATTTGCTAAAACTTCAGACTAAACATGCTTAAGTTATTTAGTTCATTTGCTAAAACTTCAGGCTAAAATGCTTAAGTTTTTTAGTTCATTTGCTAAAATTTCAGACTAAACATGCTTAAGTTATTTAGTTCATTTGCTAAAACTTCAGGCTAAAATGCTTAAGTTTTTTAGTTCATTTGCTAAAATTTCAGACTAAACATGCTTAAGTTTTTGTCTTGTAGTATGTAATTTTTTAATTAGTTTTTGCTAAACGCATGCTGAAGATATTTAGTTCATTTGCTAAAACTTCACATAAAACATGTTGAAGTTATTTAGTTCATTTGCTAAAACTTCACATAAAACATGTTGAAGTTATTTAGTTCATTTGCTAAAACTTCAGACTAAACATGCTGCAGTTTTTTAGTTCATTTGCTAAAACTTCAGACTAAATATGCTTAAGTTTTTGTTTTGCAGTATGTAATTTTTTAAAGAGTTTTTGCTAATGCATGCTGAAGCTATTTAGTTCATTTGCTAAATTTTCATACCAAAACATGCTGATGTTTTGTAACGCAATCTACAGTTTTGTCNCTGGGACATGTTGGGCGGGGAGCAGGTTTCAAACGAACAGTTTTTTGATACCGGTGCACCGGAACCTGCTAAGCTCGTTAACAGAGTTTTAACGGGCTACAGCCCGGTTCAGCTCGATTTTTAACGGGTTTTTTTTCTGGACCGTTGCCAACGGTCAAATTCATTTAAAGAAAAATATGTACACTATGGACTAAAATCAAGACTCATGCATGAAGAAATAGTTACTATGTGAAATTATACTTATTTATTCTTAAAATGTTGTTATAAATATAGAATGCATATAACTGAAGTTGCTAATTCTCATTGTACCGATCCTAGCCGTTTGTTAATATCTAGAACTTGGGATGTCATTGAAGATATTGTAAAGTTTTTACAAAAATTTTATGTGGCTACACTTGAGTTTTCTGGAGCTTATTATCCTACTATTGCAAATGGTTTAGTTCATATTGCTGAAATTTCTCTTTTACTACATAATTTGAAGAAGAAAGAAGGATATACTTCTGTTGTTGAATCTATGCTAGATAAGTTTAAAAATTATTTCTACCCAATTCCCCCTATTTACCTAATTGGTTCTATTTTAAACCCTTCTATCAAAATGGTCACTTGTCGCCAATTAATCAGTGCTTTATATTCTTATATGGATATTGGACCAACTGAAACTCCTGATATTGACACCTGTATTTCTGATCTACACAAACATTTAGAAATATTATATAATTATTATGCTAATATTGTTGATGCTTCTTCTGTTGTAGATGCAAATATTCCTTCAAGTTCAGTTTCAACATCTGAGACCAGTGCTTTGGATGATAATGATGGTGTTGAAGATTATTTGATTTGTTCTACACTAGGGGAGCATCAACAAACCAGTAGCAGGAATATTGATGAACTTCAATTCTACTTACAAAAGTCAGCAGAGCCCCGCACAAAGGAATTTCTACCACTGGGTTGGTGGAGGAGCAACTCAAATCAATTTCCTATTCTTTCGGCCATGGCTCTAGACATACTAAATGTGTCGATTTCAACAGTCGCATCAGAGAGCGCATTTAGCCAAGCAAGGCAACAACTAGGAGATACTCGTCATTCATTGGGCAACAACGCTTTGAAAATTCTAGTGTACTTCAAAGATTGGATAAGATCAGAACGGCGAAATCAAGGGCGTGACGAGGTAGATGAAGCGGAAGACCAAGAAATTGGAGATATAATGGTTTATGGTTCTGATTCAACCAATGCCGGAAACCAAGAACCTCATGTTAACATGGATGAACTTACAAAAATGATGCAAAGTATGTGATATACTATTTTTTTTTTTTTATAATTGTTGTAAACTTTTAATTTGCAAGTTCAAAAATAACAAAATCAATAAAGAACTTGCAACTTAATTTGAAGTATTATATATTATTTAATAAAAATATCAAATGAAAGTTTTCGGAGCTTGATCCTTACATATTGCCTATTGGTCTAATTAAATAATTTTTTGTAGCCACTTACTTTCAAATTTCAATTTTAAAATTATAAAATTCAAATTTCAAATTTAAAACTTTAAACTTCAAAGTTTAATTCTAAGTCTTAAAAGTTTGCAAACACTTAAGTATCAATAACATTGAATAAGAAAAATAAAATTTACTTAAAAAAAAAAAAAAATTGCACGACCCGTCCAGCCCGCTAAGCCCGAACCCGGACGGACAAAAAAAACCCCGAAAAAGTACAGCCCGCTAAAAGCCCGCTAACTCAGCCCGGAACGTTAAACGGACGGGCTGATTTTTTTGTGTCCACCCCATCCCATCCCGCCCGTTAAACACCCATAGTTTAAACAAGCTGAAGTTTTTTAGTTTATTTGCTAAAACTTCAGCCTAAATATGCTTAAGTTTTTGTCCTGCAGTTTGTCAATAGTCTTTTATTTAAAAAAAAAGGGCAAAATGGTCTTTTTAAAATGCTTTTAACAAATGAATGGGTACGGATGTAAACGAAAAAACAAACGGGTATAAGTTAAAAAGGGGCGACCAAATAGGGCGCCCCATGCAATTTTTACCATAAAAAGGCATATCCTTAATTTTGTGGTGTATAATTAATGGAACTAACTTGAAGCTATATAGTGTGAATAGAACTTAATTGATACTTGACCCAAGCTATATAGTGTGAATAGAACTTAATTGATACTTGACCTTGTGTCAAGATACGCAGGCAACTTGTTATGGGTCCGGTTTCTCTTGTCCTTAGCTGGATGAATCGGTCAAGCCTAGCCACTTGGGTCACAGTTGACCGAAAATCTTTACAAAAGCATCATTTTCAAGAAAATTCAAAAAACAAATATCAAAAAGTATATATATTGTCTTCTTTCGTTTACTTTGAAGTCTTTCCTTGATACATCAAATTCCAAATCCAAAATATTTTCTTTTATAAGTCCTCTCTGAGGAAACTCAAAAATCCAAAATATCTTCCTCCTTGCAAGCCTCCCATAAGGGAATTAAAAAGAAAAACTTAGTTGAAGCTCAATTCACAAGAATCATATCTAGGGCCTGTTTTATGTTTTTTCAAATAGACAAATACGTAATTGGTTTAATGTTAAGAAAAAGTGAAATTCCATTTATATTTTTGTATATGGTAAAGCCATCTGACAAAGCATAACAAATGATACAAGAACAAAGACATCCAAATCAATGGCATCAAGATATGTGTTCAGCATCCCATTATTATGGAACTAAAAAAGATGCAGTGGATCCACTGGGATAACTGGTAGAAGACCTGCTTTGCGTCATCTCTAAATTTCTCTTTGCCAACAGCTAATATAAGTAGAAACAGATTTGAGTCAAGAATAAATGCACCAGTTAATACCTTAGCAGATTCAGCTATAGAAGCCAGTGCACTTAATGCTTCTTGTTGGATCATTTGTTTGTCATTCTGAATTTCAAGCAACAAAAAGTCGAAAAAGACGTTATTAGTCTCTTGTACTTGTTAACCGTGACATATATTTTGGTGTCTATATTTGCACACCTATAGAAGTACAAGCAGTTTGTTAACTATTCCATCTAGGTGAGGTATCAAAGTTTCTGGCTTGCCCGGCACCCAGAAGAAGCAGAGAGCTACAGCAACACATGTGTAATTCTCCTCATTACCAAAAAAGATAATTAAGTAATTTACCCCCCAAAAAAAAAAAAATATAAGATGAAATAGGGGCAAAGCCCTACGCTAACAGAAACAAAAGAATAAAAGGACCGAAGCCCCTTTCTCTGGCCAAAATCAAAAAGAAAGAAAGGGAAAAGGGTTTGCTGAGTAAGACTAAACCAGAAGCAAAAAGAGATTTTGAAGGGTCAAGGGTTAAGACAAAAATAAAAAAAATACAGAAGGTAAGTTGGGGAAAAAGCTTGGTACAGCAGAAGAAGCCACTTCCGGCCATTATTTGTTCAAATCTTAAGGTACTGTATTCCACAAATTTGAGAATATATTTTAATGGTTAAAGTTAAATAAGGAGATTGGCAAAAATCAGCGAAACAAGGAAAGATATGTATAATTTTTGTTAATATTTAGCAATCTGTTGAGGAATCTTAAGCATTCACTGTGTCTTACGGGTATTACTTGAGCATATTCTTCTGATAGATTTTAATTTCGATTCTCATGATTGGAAGATTCTACAAAGTAATAGAAATTTCACTAGTTCATTCACGCAATTGAGAATTTTCTTCCTAAAGAATCAATAGAACTTTATGAAATTGGACTAATAAATTATATGAATAGGTTGGAGTTGATAGATTAGTAATTACTCATATGTGGGTAAATATAATTTGGCGAATTAAGAGTCAAATATGAAACCTCGAGGGTTGGGCATTCTAAATTAGCAATGAATTAGCCTAAACATGGAAACTAACATGAGATCGATATTATGTAATTATAGATTGATTGGAGGAAGTTGTATGAATTGCTCGAGGTGAAACATTTGGTATTTCAGCACGAGTACTGTGAGTAGTAATCTTACTGCAATTTGTGTTTTCATAACCTGCATGGTTTATACGTTATTTTGAAAATAAATTGTGTTACTGAATGTTTGAAATTGCATGTGGGACAAGTCATTTACTTGATATGGTATTGAATAGTTTACTTGAGATGTTTACAATTATTTAAAAGATTCTCATTATTACTAGACATGTTTTACTGTTACTTGAGATATGATTACCGTTACCGAAATTGGATTACATAATTTGATAAGAATTGAAATGCCCTGTACTATTTTGAAAATGTTTCCATGTGAATATTTACTGTTTACAAAAAAAAGTATAAATGGGAGGAGACTTTGAAGGATCCCGTAGCTAACGACGGGTTCGTTAGACCTGGTGCACCTTGTATTTACCGATTATCGAGTACAGTTATAGACCTCGCTAGTGGGAAGGTAGAACTAACATACAGTTACAGTTCTCCCTCGAGTAGGGACCTACAAGTTATATTTGACTCCTTTTACGAAGGGGTCCACACAGTGATATAGATTACATGATCCTTTCTTGGAAACCTCCCAAATATAAAGATTTTCTATGAGACAATATTTACCGAGTTTATTACCGATTTGTTAAATTGATTCCGGTTACAGGAAACACATGAATAGACTGATTATATTTACCGTTTTTGAGAGAGCATTTTATTCTCATGATAGTTTCTGATTATTATTATTATAAAGGCATGTTTTCTGACTTGTCCCCATTAAAAATGATTGTGGCTAAGTGTTATTACTCACTGAGCTAGCGACTCACTCCCCGTTATTTTTTTCATAGAGACAACAGTTGACGCGAGCGAGAATTTCGTTAATTAGAGTACACGAGTTGATAGTTCCTGGTGAGCCCCGCATTTGTTCTTGTGGGCGAAGAGTTTATTTATTTGCTATGTTCTCTCCTTTTGAACTCTTAGAGTCGCTCTATAGTCATTTTATTTGTGTCATGAGTATTCGTTCATTATTAGACCCATGACTAGTATTAGATTCTCTTATAGTGTTTTGGAGATGAATTTAAGATTACTGTGTTGCAAGTTATTGATTAACAGTGGTGAATAACTGTTTGATTAGTTGATGAAGATTATGAGATATTTGGTTGATATAGGTTGGTTCTATTGTTAATTTTTGAGACAGGGTAAATTTTTGGACAGTCCTAAAATAGAGGAAACTCTGTCCGATTTTTTATAAAATATCGATGAGGCTTACTTGGGGGCACTAGCTCTTAAGTGCCGGTCATAATCCTAAATTGGGTCATGACAACATGCCTATGAAAACACCAAAGAGCAAAAGGAGCAAATTATTTGGCATCAGCAATTAATGAAGGAGTAACGTTTGCATCTACCAAATCTTTAGGCTTATGATTTTTTTTCCAAACTTTATTTAGGGGTACACTTTAGATACCTCCTCTGACATTTAGTACTAACTAGTATCTATGAACATGCGTTGCACGTTAATAATGACACGTGATAGTTTAAACATTTATTTATATGAAAAAATAATAAAATTTAATTAATAAGAGAAATTTTATGTATAATAATACAATAATCATCTAAATGTAGAAAAATATTATTATATTAGCATAATACATGAATTTGAAACAAGGACATCTTCAAAGTTTACACAAATGATCAATTTTGTCATGTTAGTTAGATAATTGTGTATTATAGTTTAAAGGTATTTAATGTGATGGTATTTTAACGAACATTTTTTTGTGGACAATATTTTTGTGCGTGTATGTTTCCTCCTAATGCTTTGGTTGCTTTGTCTTAACCAGAACTTTTGTTGTCGATCTTGATATCCCTCTTGAAAGTGCAACATACAGTTGTTCGTGCAAGAAAATATATTGCGATAAATATAGTCCAATATTTAGGATGTTTGTCCTTGTGCTTTATTTATTATATTTGCAAAATATAAACATACTACAAATTATTTTCACACAAATTTAAAAGGATATTCTTTAGTTTCAGAAGACGAAAGTTGAATTTAGGGATAAGAATATATTTAGAAACACATTGACCAATATCATAATTTTTGCATGTATAACGTTATTGTCAAAACTTCTATATATCATCAGTGTGCTATTACATAAGCTATTCGGCGTATCTAAGTTTTTCAGTAGCATGACGGGCATACTTTTCTTCAAAATCAACCTATATACAATGGAAGATCAATTTTAACTTAGTCTATTTTATATACGGTGACACTTACATATGTAAGAAATAATAAACTTGACAACAAACATGTATGGTAGAAGGCAATTTGGTATTAAAGTATTTAAGTATTCTTTTTGGTAATTATTATTGGTATCATTTTCTGCTGAGTCAAAAACTGAAAAACATTTTGTTTTTACTATAAAATTATTCAATCCACCTTTTATTTAGTTGATCAACATATTCATTTCTGCTAGCTAAGATATCTTTTTAATTCTATCATGCGATTTGCTCAAATTGCGTTTTAATCTAATGATAGAAATATTTCTCTTATTAAATGCACTACTATTACCATTGGGGTTGATAACCAAGTGTTCAGGAAGAACCAAATCATCTTTTATTGGATGCTCTTCTTCGTTTTCGATACGAAGCAAAAAGACACTGAATACTGGATCTGTTCTTACTTTATATTTCTTGTCAGTTGAATCTTTTTCATTTGAGACCAAAAGTATAACTTTGGCAAGCTAGCTTTTATAGTCCATGCTTTTGTCGATTTTGAAACTACTGATAGTACTTGACAGAAATTACTTCCCAAACCATTAATTTTTCACCAAACGGTTCATTAATATCCAATATATCTATTGTTTCGATTGTTTGACACTTAGCCATAAGTGCTTCATCCCCTATTATCAATTTTGCTTACCTTATAAATTTAGCATCATTGCTCTGCTTTGATATATTTGTGATGGTTAATTAAGTTGTTGATGAGGTATATCAAATCTAAAGTGGGTAGCCTCACAATAAAATCGTTGTTGGTATACCACTTGTTATTATTGCTAACAGTGTCATGCCACTTTATATGATATTTGCAAGTATACTAACCTTTTTACTTTGTGTTCTAACGCTCTTTTTATGGAATAAATTTATGTACCCTAAGATTTTTTTAAACTAAAATAAGAATTTTACTCATATGATGAATTTTAAAAATAATTGAATTGGATTTTCTTGCTAAATAATTATCTAAAAGATTTAATTATTTGATTTTAACATAAAAATAATTTATTCTATGTTGATTCAGATCTTAATATTAGTTCATCTCTTGTTTTGAATATTTAATTTTAATTATAATTTTATCCACCATAAATTTTATTTTCAAAGAGTAAAAGATTGATATGACATTTCACTTTTAGACCTTTATGTTTGTAGAATCATTAGTGGTATTGACTCTTACCAACTATTTTGTTTTCTCTTTCTCACACATTTATATTCTTAAATATTTTCTTAGTTGTTGTTTAATAATTGGGTATTTTTTAATATTACACAAAAAATTAATAAAAAATATTATTTGAGTTAAAAGATAGTTCAAATATAATATAAAAATATATTATCGTGGGGGTATTTTTTTCTCAATTGCAACTCTTTATGCAATTCATTTAATATTACTTTTATTTTTCTTGGTATTGGACATTATGTAGTGGTAATGTATTGCCAATACGGAGGATTCTTGTGAAATTATAAACCTTCTTACATATTTTTAATAAGAATTTAATAGACAAAATTTCATTAATTTTAAAATCTTAAATATTAAAAATTAGCACAGAAGGTATTGTAGTCCAAAAAATAGGTTATTGCAGTGATGTCATTTCCCTATGAATTCTTCCGTTTAATATTTTAGGGCTATTTTGGTATATTAATATTGTATTTGTGCTTTTATAATAATATATGCTCTCCTTTTTCTAAATGGATTTGGACAATATAATATATTTTTAAATTAAATTAGTAATAGGACATTATAATAGTTTTCAAATTAAATTAGTAATAAGAATTTTTAAGAAATATATCCTAAAAGTAATAGGATTACATGACTAAAAATATGTCTCTACCCCGAAAGTAATTATATTAAAAGGAAACATAACGTGTTCCTAAATGTATCAGGTATACATGCTAACATGTAGTATTATATGTCTATGCCCAAAGTAATTATACTAATTGCATTCCTAAAGGTAATCATGTAGGATTCTTAACGTGTAGTATTATGTCCTAAAACTAATATGATTATAAGGCTAATATCTAGAATTTCGGTTATGTCCTTTTATTATGAGTTATTATGCTTAATATTATAAGGCTATTTTTATAAACCGACATTGTATTCATACTTTTATAATAATATAGTTATAGATTACTTCCGCTATAATTTTCACATTACATTCAACCATAGTAAGCTCCTAACAGGACTCAATGAAAGGATAATTTTCTTCTGCATTGATGTTGTTTACAATTATAAGGCCAGAGAGGTGTTTAATGAATTTAATACGTAATACAACAATCATGGGCAAGATAAATGTTTTTGGAGGCTAGTGGAGTATTTGGAAAACAGGACAGATAAACAACTACAAGCGAAAACATGAGAAATAAAAGAAAAAAACAACCACTTGAACTGTAAATAGATGTAATTTAAAAGAAAGAAAATGACTAGTCCCGAACTTTGCAAGAGTCGATCTCCATAACCGACCCTGAACTTACACATTTAACCAACCCTGAGCATTATCGCACCTGGACAGGCCAATAACAGATCAAAATATTTGGTTCCCACAGCAAAAGACTATAAGTTTCATTGCATGGGTTAAAATGTTAAAATCTTCCTTAGGCGCTGATAAAACGGATTCCAACTCCATCTCTTGCTGAGGCAATAGCAATGACCGTGTTGATGCCCAGGTAGCTGGTGGTATTGTTTCCTGAAAATGCCTCAAAAGATTAATCATGCGTTTTGTAGTTCCTTCAGTAGCAAGATCCTCTCCGGCACATAGAACCTACAGAAGAAGCAACTTCCAATTACTGGATGGCTACAGAGATATAAAGGTTACTTCAATAAAAATGCCACAAATATCATGAGATAAACATGTTGGTAGATCAATAAACTATCTAAATGAAGTTTAGGTTGTAATCTCAAACTAACCTCTGCAAAAATTGAAACAACTTTTGGAAGGTACTGATAGTTGGAGCCTAAAACTTCTCTGTCTGACCTGAAATTGAGAATATTATAGTTTGCAAACACATACTATAGTTTGCAAGGACAATGTTGATAGATTTGAATTGCTAATTGAAAACATAGATAAATCCCACTAACAACCACCAACTAGATGATTTCTGTCAAGTCAAATCCCCATATAAGAGAAGTCATTAATTCAATAACAATTAAATGGTTTCACCGCCTAATGAAATTTTGTTATGCCAAATATATCAAAATTGTTCCTGCTGCAATATCATTAAGTTGTAAACTAGTTACAACAATATTAATATATTGCTTCAAACGTTTGGAAGATGTGTTTTGTTTAGTTTTCCCTGAATCTGAAATTACAAAGTTCATTTAAAATGTACATTCTTCCGTTAAGAACAATCACAATTATATCTACAGAAAACATTTCTCATCAACAACTTAATGTAAAGCAACTGCTAAAAGTAAATATAATCGGTTTACCCCATTAAACAGCCTTAATTATCAATGCCAAGGTAACAAAACCAATCCAGAGTAAAAGAGTAATTGAGTATAAATACTAGAGCAAACCAATCCAGTTCCAGTACCTTTCGACCATTGAACACAACTGTTCATGAACATCTTTGGCTTCGTCCAAGTCACCTTTTATAGGCAGGCAATTCAACCAAACTGGAATAACCTACCAAATGACTTGGAATAAGAATTCTGGGGAAATTACAATCACAGTAAATTATTAGTCAATTTAAGTCAGTTATAGAATAGTCCTCATTGCTTAACAACCAAAACTCCTTTCGACTAAAAGGGTAAAGCAAATAAATAAACAAGAAATGACTAATAGGAAACTCTTGTAAATCTCTATATGTATGGTTAAAACATGGCGGAGTATATTCGCAGTCTTTGGGAATTGTGGGGATGATTCACTTGACTTACTGTCTTTTAGTTTCTAAATCTATAACATAAATATTGAAAAACAATAATGCGAAACATTATGATATTTCTCAAACTATATGATATA